GCAGACTCTTCCTAGCCTTGACATTTCATTGGTAAAGAGAATTCTCAGGTGAAGGGACTTCCCTCTTCCGATGCAGGTCTGTAACTTTTCTGCAATTTAAAGTTTTAGAAAATCCTTACCTCAAGAATTTGGAGGTTAAGTGACATGCCCGTGGATCAGAAACAAGACATCAACCCAGATCTTTCTCCCTTGAAGGCTAACTCTCTATACAGTAACTATGCCATGCTATTTCTCTATATGGTTTAGAAGGCTAGGGAAATGTGTAATACCTTTTATTAAGATATCCATTCAGGTTCTGATAAAGTTTTCTTGTTGAAAGGGCAGGAGGGATGCCTCCCTAATTATGTGGAAAATCCACTCATGAGAAACACCTCCTTTTCTGATAGTGTTGAATAAATGAAGAGTGACCCTATTTCCAAGGCTTAAAGATCTCTTGGCAAACTTAATTAGTTTAATTAAGGTCTCCAACTTAATTAGGTCTCTGAAACTTGAACTCAGACAGCTATCGAACTTTGGTACAAGGCATCAGTGTCAACTTTTGTCTTTGATATTTTTACGACCAAAACGTGTTGTTCTCAGAACACCTTCATCTCCAGCGATTACCCTGATCCAAAAGGGGCCAGGTTTGAATTAAAAAAAATTAAAAAAACAGAAATTTCTTCTGTACAAGGCGTTGATGATGGCAGACATGGGCGCAAAATGGAATTACCTGACCCAGCTGACTGGGACCCAGTGAGAGTCTTTGCTCAGCTTCTCTAAGATCCCTTTGAGTTCATTGTATGTACTCTGGAGATCTTCATTCACCAAGACTGCGTCCACCAAGTGGCCATAATGCTGGTCTATGAAGGATGCTGAGGAGAGCATCTCCTGTTGCTCCTCACTCTGTGAAGGAAGGAGCCATTATGGCAAAACAGGCAAGAAACCATAATAACGATTACTGCTAGCATCTACATAGTACTTTAATGCTTTACCATTACCTAACTTTATCCTCACAACCCTGAGAAATAGGTGCCATTAATCCCATTGTACAGCTGAAGAAACTGAGGCAGACAGAGGTTAAGGGACTTGTCCAGGGTCAGACAGCAAAAAAGGTAGCTGAGGCCAGACCTGAACTCAGGTCTTCATGATTCCCAGACTGTTGCACCACCTAGCACCGCTAGAGACTGGAAAACCTACCACACAAAGGCTGCAAAGACTCAGAGCCAGACAGTGTTCCCTCCTAATTTTTAAGTTTTAAGTAGACTACTGTGCTACTTGAACAGCAGGTCTTTGAGGACCTCTCACCCTCAGTTTCCTTTATAAAGTGTTGGAGCAGATGATTTCTGAGGTTCCTTCAAGCCCTAGAAGAGATGAATATGACTAAGCTTGAGAATCCATGAACAGAGATTAGTGTTGTAATCATAATAGCAATAATAATGACAAAAACTCACTAAGTTTCTTAACCCGAATTAGGTACAGTTAGTCCACTAGCATTAAGTGCCTACTTAATATAGCCAGGCACCGTGCTAAATGATACAATTCAGACTCTAAGGTCAGTGGGAAACTGTCAGAACCAACTTAGAGCAAGTCTTTGACTTTTAGACCTCCTTTATTAAAAAAGCTACTTGCCTCTCAAGTCCTGTCCCCCCATCCCACCACCCCATCTTTGCCATTTTACAGATGAGGAAAGTGAGAAACAGAGAGAGAGTTTGTCACTTGCTGAAGGTCACACAGGTAATATCGGTAGAAAAATAAATATCTGAAGGGTGAACTAATTCAAAGCAGTTGAACACATTAGTACTTATGCATTTATGGTAAAATCTCGCCCCCTCCCTTTTGTAGGGCAACAGCTGCCTGGTAGACAGAAAAGAATTTCACAGCTCTCATGGGTTCAATTCAATTATTTATGCATATGACATCTACATATGCAGCCTTAGTCTCTCTGCTGAGCTCTAGTCCCACTTCACCATTTCAAAATGAATGTTCCATTGACATCTCAAACTCAACACAACTGAAACAGAACTCATTACTGAAAAAAAAAATCCTTTTTCTGAGCTTCCCTATTACCGAGGAGGGCATCACCATCATTCTAATTACCTCAATGTCATCCTGGACTCCTCCCTTTCTGTCCCGCAAATCCAATCAGTTTCCAAATCTTGTCATTTTTATCTCCTCATTATGTCCCCTTCTCTCCATGTACACAGCCATCACCTTACCTCCTACCCTCATCACTTCTCACCTGGAATATTACAAATAGCCTTCTATGGAGACTCCCTGCCTCAAGTCTCTCCCCATTCCAATCTATCTTCCACACAATCACCCCAATGAATTTCCTAATTCCTAATTCACCTTTTGACTCAATAAACTCCATTGGCTTCCCTGTTCCTTCTAAGATCAAATGTAAACTCTGCTTGGCATTCCAACAGTGTCTAGTGTTCTTACATATTACTCCCCTCCTCACACTCTACAATGCAGCCATATTGGCCTATTTCCTGTTCTTCACACACAATGCTTCTTTGCTGTGGCTATTGTGCTTGTCAAGAATGTTCTACCTCTCAGAATCCCTGATTTCCTTCAAGACTGAGCCCAAGTACTACCTTTTTGCAAGATACCTTTCCTGGTCCCTCCCACTAGTGAATTTTGTATGCATCTTAGCTATGGAACAGGATGTAGGAGACCCACTGCCCACTGGCGGGGAGGGAATTCTCCTATATTTATCAACTTGAACCCTTGGAGAGCTGTAAAACAGTGACTAAGAGGTTAGACTCCATGCCATCTGGAGGGAAAAGAAGTTATCTTGCAAGAGTAGTAGTGAGAACCAAAAGAAGAAAGTCGAAGCAAGGATGAGAGCAAGAGGCCAACAGGTCAGTTAGATGGAACAACTATGTCAGACTAGGTACTGATGAGAGTTGGGGTATCCTCTTCCTGATGCTTGCCTTCATTTTTGAAGAGGACCAATGACATCACAGGTGATGCCTTGACTTCTGCATGAATTAGATTTTTTTAATTATTATTTTTAAGGCAATTGGGGTTAAGTGACTTGCCCAGGGTCACACAGCTAGTAAGTGTCAAGTGTTTGGTCTGAGGCTGGATTTGAACTCAGGTCCTCCTGACTTCAGGGCCGGTGCTCTATCCACTATTCACTGTGCCACCTAACTGCCCCTTATGAATTGGATTTAAGTAAGGCAGAGCTGCACAAAGTTGTCAGCCTCACTCTTTCTTCCAGAGTCACCTAAGTCCAGTAGCAGGACAAAAATCAAGGCAATGGGTGATGGCCTGGGATGCAGTGAATGACCCTGGTGTCTTTGATGTCTGACCAAGCTCTAAGTGCTCCATAGTGCCTATTTCAGCTGCCTTCATGGTCACCTATTTCAGATGCCCTTCAAGACTGCATGGCTGCAAATTATTCTCATCTGCCCATTCTGCCAGGGGGGAGTCTTGCTTGGGGTAGACATCCCGCTAACTCACCAACAGGTTTGAGCCCTGTTGGTTACCCTCAACCTGGGTTAGCCCATCTGCCAAGATGGTTTACTGTGGTGTGGCCACTCCTCATGCTACAACTTCTTGAAGAAATGAACCATACTGGGATTAGCAGAACAAATCAACTAGGGAAAGGAAGCTGAGATATTAAGACAAAGACTGTAGGGAAATATGCAGAGGTAATATGGAAAAGGTGGAAAGTAGCTAAAGCAGTTCATGTTACCAAGAACAGAACTGGTGAATCAGGACTTTCCCATCCTTTGCCTCATTCATATTCTCTCCAGGGAGAGAACTGAACTTGTTTCCCAATCCCTGTTTCTAAAGAGTTTGTTTTGCTTCCTCTTTTGTGGTTTCTCTGAGATAAAGTGGTTAACCACTGAATTGCTGATGTGTATGTGCATGTGTTGTGTGTGTCCCTGCTCAATTCTGGCAGAGGAAGAGGTAACAGGTGGTAAAGTATCCAGGAGAGAAATGGATAGATTTTTTTTGTAACTGTCAGGACTTTCCCAAAATGGGGGCTCAGAGCTGTACAGCAGAAAGAATGACTGATTCATGTTTTTACAGCTTCTCAAAAGCAGAGAAAGAGAAGATGGATCCAAGCCAGATCTAGACTCAGTTTCCTCACCTGTAAAATGGTAACAACTACCTCACAGGATTGTTGAGATATTCAAATGAGATCATCTATATATGTCCCTCTGAACCTTTCTCTTGTAATAAATCAAGTTATTACTCATATCATATGGAGTTTTAATTATTGCTCAGCTTAAAAGTGCTGCATAAAAGTCAATTATCACCATTACTAGAACTGTACAGCTCCTGACTTGTAACAGCACTCCGACCACAGATCTAAAGAGGAATTATGAAAAATTACATTGCATTTACTCTGAATTTTGTATTTTCTTATAATTGTACATCTTGTCTCCCCCCCCCCAAAAAAATGATAAGCTCCTTTTGAGCAGGGGTTGGTTTTTGAGTTTTGAGTTTAGGGTTATGGTTTTGGTCTCTGCATCTATCTCCAGAGCCCAGCACAGGGCTTAACAGTAGATGCATAGCAAATGAGTATTATTGATTTTTTAGAAAGGATGATCAAATCTCTTCAATGAGAATTCTGCCAAAGCATTAGGCTTTTCAGGCAAGGTTATATTAGCATCTGGCCAGAACAGGGATTTGAGCCAAATAAAGCAAAGGGGAGAGAACACAGGATGTAGCTGTGTCTAAACCCCATCCCTCTTATTTATTGCCTAAAGAACCTCAAATGAGTCAGTCCCACCCTCTGGTCATTAGTTTCTTTCTTTGTAAAATGAAGGACTTGGGCTAAATGATCTCCTCTCCAGTTCTGATTCCAGGATTCCAGGAATATTGCTTCAATCTGCAGCATCCTTTGATGCTGTAGACTGTTTTAGAAGACAGAGAACTTTATTCTGGTCCAAGCTGGATGTGGCGGGGAGAGGGAGAGAGAGGGGAAGAAGGGAAGGGGGAGGGAGAAAGGAGAAAGAGAGAGAGAAGAGAGAGAGGAGAGAAAGAGGAGAGAGAGAAAGGGA